AGTGCTTCCCGGCTCAACTTTGGGAGAGACTATGCAAAGTAATCTGTGCTACCTAATGAGCTCATGTGGCGTATGAGGGAAAGTAGGTGATTGAAAGTGTAAGATTCCCACGTGCTTCACTTTCACCAGAAGTCTCGACAGAGAAGCCCCATAATCGCAAACTGAGTGTGCGTGTGACAGGTGGCTGAGATTCGGAGTCAGGTTTCCCTCTTCGAGGGAAAGCTGATCATCTTTGGGTCTGGCTTTCGAATGCGGAGAGCAGTGGTCTCTTCGATTTTGAGAAAGTAACATGTTGGAGTCGGCTCTCGAGATTAAGCGGACGTCTTCGATTTTGAGCAAGCATCTTGTGGGAGTGTTTTCTCGAATGTGAGTAAAGGTGGGCTGTTTGTCTATCCTACCTTGCTAAAAGAAGAGGTTGCACACAGGGACTTTCCAATTATCAGCATTTGGAGGTTGACACACAGGGGGGCGTGTACTGTTCTTTCCTGTGGTAAATAATATGGTACTAGACTCAAAATTTATGGTCTAAACTTTTGTTGTCGTTTCTTGCAATTCCTTTACCTTTTTGGTCAAAGCGAGTAGTGGGAGTTTGCAGCTTCACGTGCTCAACTTGGGAAGTTATCTGTGTACCCATGAGCTACTGTTGCGTGTGGAAGTGGGTGATTAGAAATAAGATTCATGGTTATCACTTCCAGAAGTCTTCGACAAATGCCCATGGAGTTTCTCGAAGCTGAGTGTGGTGTGACAGGTGACTGACAAGCTGAAAAGTAGGTGCTCTTGATTTTCTGAGTTATTGGCCCTCGTGGGCTCGGGTATTCCCAGCTTGAAAAAACGAGCTGCCTCTTCGATTTCTGAATCGCCTTCGTGTCGTTTGAGCAGCCCAACTTTTGAGAAAGCAAACGGCTCTTTCGATTTCTGGAGTAACCCAAAAGCCGGCTTCGATTTCTGAAAGCCTCTCAGCAGAGCTCGATTTGCAATCTATAGTGCGATATTAAAGTTCCAAACACACTTGAATCTCCACCAGTAGAAGCTTCATTCTTGCACTTCTAAGATCTTATTTGACGCTTCTCTTCTTCAACACCTTAAAATGTTCTGGCCCCTCGGACGTCGTTTACTTGAATCTTGTTGGAGGCAGCCCCCCGTTCTCCAAACAACATATGCGCCCTCTTTCGTCCCTACTGGTCCCTTACGTTGGGATCCGTGATGAAGAATATGACCGACCGGTGGTGTGGCAGGACCTTCTCATTCCCAAAGATAAAAGACTACTTTCCCAACGGTCTGATGAGTTACGCTTAAGAGCGCTGGCTCTCAGTGTTCAGTGTGGCATCGTGTCTAATATGCCCAACGCCTTTTGCTCGAACCGCCAAGTTGAATCATTGGCGCTGAAGTGATGGTCTCAAACAGGAGATTAGAGGGCTCAAGATGAGAATAAACAGTTCACCGGCTCGCACATGACATGTGCACCATAAGAGGAACTGACCAATGAAGGACTGATGGCAGGTTTTATTTGATCATCAGAGATTTGTGGTTTGTTCCAAAGGCATTTATTGCCTTCGTCTTCTGGGCTGTACCGCGTAATGAAGCTCCAAATGTCACCTCTGATGCCTCCTCCTTCTAGGTTCTGTCCATACTGAGGCCAAATGATCCCCTCCGTGCCTTCTCTTTCTGGGCTCTACCGCGCTGAGACTTCTCCAAGCAACCTTTTGTGAAGGCTCCCTCTTGTGTTTTATTTTGACTCATGTATATGTCATATTTGTAGCTTATCGGGATATCAAAATAAGCTTTCTTCATTTCAACGTACTGTGTTAAAAACACCAAGCTTTTCGCAAGTTTTTTGAATTTTTTTTTTTGAAGCATGTATGTTGAAGCTTCTGGTGGAGCCATGTAGGTTGGGTATGTTCCTTAATTTCGAGTGAGGAAAACTTCTCGTTGGAGACTTGAAAATCCAAGTCACTAAGTGGGATCGCTATATGAATCTAGACGCCATTGTGCTCGATCTGTGTCATGTCCTTCGTTAGATCCAAGTACTTAATCTTCTTTTTAGAGTCTCTTCAAATTTTCCTAGTTCCTATACCCTTCGCCCTGAACCTTCCATAGTCCCATGCTTCTAATCGGAGCGTAGTAGGCCTTTGCACTTGTCACCACCGTCCTTCAAAACTTACCGGTAAACGTGTGATTTCTCTACATCTTTTCACCGCCCAACATTCTGTCCTCATTCCAATCTTATCTCTTTATCAAATTTCACATGAGCCGCATGGCAATAACGTGCGATCAACATAACACGCCGGTCGGCCTCACATCCGGACTTCACTTCATCCATCCAGCTTTAATTTTATGGTTGAGATCTCATCTAATTCTTCTTTTGCCAAGATAGACCTAGGTAACGAAAACGGTCGCTCTTTGGTAATTTCTGCTCCGATCTCACCCTAACTCGTTGGCCTCCATTTGCACTGAACTTGCACTCCATATCTGTCTTGATCGGCTTAGGCGAAGACTTTAGATTCCAACACTTCTCCCAAAGGTTAAGCTTTTGCATTACCCTTCCTGATCATCTATCAACACTATACGTCTGCGAAAGCGATACACCAAGGAATATCATCTGAATTGTTCGTTAACTCATCCATACCAACGCAAAAGGATAAAGATTAAGGATGAGCCTTGATGTAAACCCACAGTTAGGGAAAGCTTTCGGTTTGTCCTTCATGAGTTCTTACGGAAGCTTTGCTCCTTCATACATATCCTTTATAGCTTGGATATAATGCACTCGTACTCCTTTCTTCTCTAAAATCTCCAAAAAGTTCTTGGGACCTATCATACGCTTTTTCCAAATCTATAAAGACCATGTGTAAATCCTTTCCCATCTCTAATATCTTTCCATCAATTTCAAGAGATAGATTTGCCTCTATGGTTGAGCGCCTGCATGAACCCGAATTGGTTGTCCGAAACCGTGTCTCTTGCCTCAATCTATGCTCAATGATCTCTCCCAGAGCTTCATTGTATGACTCATTACTTAATACCCCTTAGTTCATGCAATTTTTGTACGTCCCCTTATTCTTGTAGATAAGCACCAAAGTGCTCGTTCGCCACTCATTGCATCTTCTTCGTTTCAATCCTATTGAAAAGTCAGTAGCCATTAATACCATTCTCTCCCGATTCGATATATCGTCTGGCTATTGCTTTTTATGCTTCATCTTCTCCAAGCTTACAATTCTTCCTTCCTTCGGATAAAAAGTTTTCTACACTCTTTGATTACTCAACCCCTAAAGAAGCACTCATTTCATGTCCTCGTTGAAAAGATAAAAAACCTCTCCATCTGTTTTTAACCGCGTTCTCTGTAGCAAAGAACCTTTCCATCCTCATCCTTGATGACTCACTTGTTAGGTCCCTTGTCTTCTTTTCCCTCTGTTTATAGATATCCAACTCTCTCTTTTGGTATTAGTCGTTTATACATATCGTCGTAAGCGCTAACTTAGCTCCTGACAGCTTCTTGCTCTATTCTTCGCTTTTTCTATACCTTTCACCATTTCATCGGTCTCTCCTATAAGCTACAACATTCATTCTTAGCTTCCTTTGTTTGTACCTCCTCATTCCACACCAAGACCTTTTGTGTGGCAAAGCCCTTGGACCTCCTAATACCTCTTTTGCTACTTTTCGGATACAATAGCCATGAATCCCACATTTGCTACTTCCCCCTCCTATACACTCACATTGGGTGTACCTTCTTTTAGAAATGACTTGGTTTTGTTCTTTTGATTACACCTTTATTTGCGGCCTTCCAAGTCTTGTTCTTTTTGTCTTACTCTTTTGCCCCTCGCCCTGGGATAAACTTTGCAATCCTTACAAGTTATACGATCCCCTTTCCTCATTAGAAGAAAATCTATTTGTGTTTTTGACGACCCACTCTTGTAGGTGATCACATGTTCTTCTCTCTTCTTAAAAGAAGGTGTTGGCTAAGAAGAGATCATATGCCATTGCAAAATCCAAGATGGCTTCCCCATCCTCGTTTCTCTCCCCAAAAACCATGGCCACCATGAAAACCTCCATAGTTGCCTGTCTCCCTGCCCACGTGTCCATTTAAATCTCCTCCTATAAATAACTTCTCCGTCTGAGCAATTCCTTGCACCAAGTCTCCAAGGTCTTCCCAAAATTTCTCCTTCGAACTCGTATCCAACCCTACTTGAGGTGCGTACGCACTAATCACATTGATAAGTTCTTGTCCTATTACAATCTTGATTGCCATGATTCTATCTCCTACCCTCTTGACATCTACAACATCTTGTACCAAGGTCTTGTCCACGATGATGTCAACACCGTTTCTCGTTCTATTTGTGCCCGAATACCAAAGTTTAAACCCTGAGTTTTCTAGATCCTTTGCCTTACTACCAACCCACTTAGTTTCTTGTAGGCACATAATATTTATCCTTCTCCTCACCATAACTTCCACTACTTCCATAGATTTTCCCGTTAAGGTTCCTATATTCCACGTTCCTAAACGCATTTTGCTCTCTTGAACTCTACCATTCTGTCCTAGCTTCTTCACCCTCCCCCGTCTAATAGGATCAAAGTACTTCTTTTGTGTGTCCCGGGTAAAGTTGATAGGAGCATATGCTCCCAAACAACTTTGAGTGGAGTCGTTCGAAAAGAAGTTTCTATGGCCCCCTTGCTCATTTAACACTGCATCCGGGTGCCGATGGAGATACAGCGACCCTTGCTCACTTATCACTGTGCTCGGGCCACACAGCGCGCCACTTACGGGTGACGCCCTAGCTTTAGCGCGATTTTGTTCTGGATTCATTTTCATAAGGATTCGACGTGATCATGGAGTGCCGGCTGTCGACTACCTGACGCCCTCCCCCTCCTCTTTTATCCGGGCTTGGGACCGGCCATGTAAGACATAGGCGGAGTTTTTGTTTCCCTTGATTACAAAGTAAGAAAATAAAAATCCCTTCTCTGATATAGTGTTCATACTACATATATAGGTTTAATCGTATATTACAGTATTAAGATAAACTAAACTTGACAAAAACAATTAAGGACATCTGTAGAGCCTTAAAACCATTACAGAATAGAGCAATTGTAACATTTTTCTTCCAAAATGGAAGAAGAAAGAAGTATCCTTTGATCGCCAATAAATAAATAAAACATGGAAGAAAAAGAAAATAGAAATATACCCTTCACGTAGCCTTTCAGAGCACGCCAGTTCTTTCAAATCAAACACATCCACGCACTTTGACACACCTGACGGCTTTACAGGCAAAGAGTAAGAAAGAGAGGAACGTGAATTGAAAAATAGGAAAAACAGAATGGGAAATATGAGAGGCTTGTTAAGAAAATGGGCATGCCCATAAAATAAGGCATAGATCGTCGTCCTACCTAACAACCGCCGTCCCGTCAAAACATTGTCCACCAATTGTCTATAAAAAATTATGCATAGGAAATAGAAGCAGATAAAAAAGTCCGAGCGCCAAATTAGAGAGTAGATCAACCATCTAAATGAAAAAAAAAAACATGATCAAGACCTCTTCTGCCCCGCTCCTGAGGTCCAAATCTATAAGAAATAGAAAGGGTTCAAACTTTAATGATCATTTTGTTTAAATTAGTTAAAAACAAAATCATGGACAGAAGGAAAAATGAAAAGGGATGAAACTATATTACCCAAAACAGAACAGGATGACTCAAAACTATTTTTGTTCCCTCTTCTTCTGCTGTTTCTCTTCCTTCTTCCATATTTTCCATGTGAAACAAACTTCAAAACTGATTACACAAATAAAAAAGGTTCATACTTTTAATTTCCCAGAAACCACAAAAATCAACATTTCTACTAAATTAATTAAAATTAATTCATGGACAGGAGGAAAAAAGAATTAAACGAAGTTACCCAAAAGAATGAAACCACCAACTCATATATTGAAAATGAATCGATCACTGGGGATTCACCAATCAGCCTATATAATATGGAGTTAATGATAAAAAGGGAAATTAAAAATAAATCAAACATCAAAGTAACACACCTGAGAGTGAAGACGATTTTGTTTTTGTTGGAAAGGAATAAAACCAATTGTAACTGCTAATTGCGGTTTTAAATTTGAGCTCCAATTTTTTTTTCCACATGTTATAATTATAACTGCTCAGTTTAGGAGGATAATTATCTCTTATTTTTCAAAATAGGAGGATAATTATCCAACTTTTCCTCCGTGTTCGTCTTCAAATGCCCAGCAATCAATTGCATAAAATGTGAACAAAATCACATTACATTCCATTCCATAAGAAAAATATAAATTAAGCAATAAATTCGATAATACACATATGAATTATTGCCCGATATTTTAGATTGAAATGTAGAGATAAATTTCAGAAATTGAAGAAACTTGGTGTACCTGTAAAAAAGTGGATGGAGATTGAATTGCGTCGTCCTCGTTCTCCCTCGTAAAACCATCGCAGATTTTGCGGTAGGGAAACAAAAAAGGTAAACTCTCTTCTGATAACTGTAAAATTGGAATAAAAAGGTAAACTCTTCCGATAACTGTGTCTATTCCACGTTCTGAACTCTATCTTCTCCAGTTTGTGTTTTCTGCACAACCTGGAGGTTTGAATGCCACATTCTACTTAGGGTTGCTTTTTGTAATTTTTATAATACAGTTTTATGTTCAGTTATGAAGAAAACAAAAGGACAAAGAAGAACTTACAAACCAAAACATACGGACGATCTCTTGCCGCTAGATTTGCAAGGAAGCAAAATCTTCAGCTAATGCAAAACCTATTTCATTTGGCTGGTTTTAATGAAACTGTCCTTGATTAAAAAAACAAAAACAAAAACAAAAACAAAAAAAACAAAAAACTGAAGTAAGTGGAGCGGTTGTATTGAGGAAAACATGGGAGCGGTTGTGTGTGTAGAGAGACAGAAAGGGAGAAGAAGCGGTCGTGGGTTTTTATCTTCTCTTTTTTTTTTCTTTTTTTTCTTTTTTTTTTTCTAATTTTTAATTCTCTTTTTGTTCAACATATTTTTCTTTCTTTGTTTTTGAAAAAAGTATCTCTGCTATTTTGTTTTTATTATTTTGAGCTAGTTGTGGATTTTTTTGTTTAAGGAGCTTTATAGTCCAATTATTTTTTGTGAAGCTTTGAGAGACCAAACTCTCCTTTTGACTTTCTAATATTAAAGATTAAAGATGACATGTACAGTTTAGTGCACTGAGCTAAGTACAATAAAGCGCCGACAGAACTTCAGGCTCCAAAGTCTCTTCCTGATCCTCTTTAGGATGGAAATGATCTCATTTGGAATCTAGCATTTAGAGGCCCATAAACTGCTTTATCCTCATTAAAACGACATAACACCTTCTGGGTGTAGTTCGATTGCTGAACAAGAATTCCATCTGAACAATACTCAATCTCCAGGCCGAGACAATATTTGTTGTTCACATTTCCCTGACTTATCAAATACTAATTCACATGGTATACCACATCCTTCTAGATTGCTTCAATCCAAAGAGTCAACGCCTCAACCTAATCGAGAGGGTGTTTCGTGTCCAGTCAATGTAAGTCCTTCAGGAACTTTTATGTAGATTTCATATCAAGATCCCATAGAGATGTGCAGTTACCACATCCATAAGCTCCATATTCATTTTTTTGGAAACTACCAAACTGATAAGGTAGCAGAATGTCATGATGTCCATTACGGGAGAATACATCTCCTCATAATCAATCATTGGGCGTTGAGAGAAGCCTTGCACCACTAGGCATGCCTTATATTGCACTATTTCATTATTCTCACACACTTCCTTATGAAAACCCACTTGTATTCAACGAGTTTCACATGTAATAGTGTAGGAACTAAGGGGCTAACCACCTTGGGTTTCACAAGCGAATCGAGTTCAAATTGGATTGCTTATTTCCAGTTTAACCAATTTGTTCGATGTCGACCTTTATCAACGAAACGTGGTTTAATGTTATCGCTCAGTATGATATCAATAGCTACTGCATATGTTAATTCATCGTCGACTATTAGCTCATTGGTAATCCAAACATCATCCAAGTTAGCATAATGGACCAAAATCTCTCGGTTCTCAAGAGGCAGATTTGTCTCTTTTAGGATGTTTTCCTAATCTATAATTTATTCATTCATTGGATAAAATGAGTAGGTGATGGTCGGATTTACTCTAGTTTCACTAGGTTGTCCCATGGGTTTCCTCTTTCACTATTATGAATCCTCTACACCAACAAGCCTACCACACCTCCTGGTATAAGCAAATGATTGGCTAGCCACCAGTATACTGGATTCGCTACTAGGTGTGGCAACTGACCTTCGGGGGTTGTCCGGTCCACATTAGTGGCATCTCGTCATTCTGGAACAACGGTTTGACGTATCCATCTTTGAAGGCACATTTTCAGCTGGTATATGTGATCTCATCACTTTTACTAGATTGGTAAAAGCATCCGCCATGCTTTGAGCAACACTACGAAGATCTAAGATTCGTCGCACTTCAGTTTCAAACTGTGAAGTGCTGGGATCTCAATGAGACATAGTGGGAGTTATCCACAATAATTCACATCATTCTTTAGGAACGTAAATGTTCTTATCATCCCCTAACTACAAGAAGATTGTCTTATACAAGTGACAATTCGCGAAATGAGCAGTAAAGTGATCGCATGTCAAAGGTTCTAAGTAACAAATGAGTAAGGAGAATCATAACCAACATATATTCCCATCATTCTTTGATGAACCATTTTGTACATAAGAGCGGCACAATCAGCATATAGACCACACAACCAAAGATAGGCAAATACAAGATATTGGGCTCGTATCCAGTTACTAACTAAAGCGTAGAACAAGGTTGGGTTATGATGGGCCTCAAGTGGACCAGCATGACTACATGAAGTATTGCATGGCCATAAATAGCAGTTAGGGGTTTAGTACGTATGACCAACGATCGAGCGATCAATTAAAGACGTTAATGGACGCTTTTGTTGGGGTACACGATGTTCAACTTCAATCCCAATAAAATGCAATAGTCATCAAAGGATTTCGATGTGAATTCTCCAGCGTTATCCAGTCGAATCGATTTAATCGAATAATCAGGATGATGAGCCTTTAGCTTAATGATTTGAGCTAGCAGTTTGGAGAATACAGTGTTTCAGGTAGGCAAAAGACACATGTGTGACCAACTCATAAAAGCATTAACCAATACAATAAAGTATCTAAATGGTTTGCAATGAGGTTGAATTGGTCCACAAATGTCCCCCTGAATTATGTGAAAAAAAGGTTGAAAGATATGATTGGATCTTGTCATAGAAATGACGCATGATGAGCTTTCCCATTCAGCAAGTTTGGCATGCAAAGTTTTGCTGGATTTTGCCTAATCTTCATAGGAAATGATGCAAATAAACTCAACTCCATTTTCTAAAAAGGTTTTAGTGTGAAGGGTCTCTTGAATGGTCAATTCAGTGCCATTGGACAACATTATATGGGCATTTCCATGTATTTTGATCAGGTTGGATGAGCATGAGAAGGTTGTAAGAGGTGAATTTTTAAGTATGAAGTTAGTAAGATAGATGTGTTCACGTAAAATGGTGTGTGTGGTTGCACTATCTGTCGGACAACTAATTTCCCCACTAGTAATACCTATAAATAAATTAATTGGATTGGTCACAAGTATAAAGAAATTCAAAAGATTTCATTCTTTCAATTAATTATTCAAGGAAGTAATCCATAAAATTTAATACCAAAAATTAAAACAAATACCAACAAATTATGTAAACATAAAAGAAATTGTCACTACAACAAAATAGCTATTTGGCAAGGACTTTTGTCCTAGTTGAAAGTTGTTGTTTTGTCGCTGAAGGTTTTCAGCGAGGAAAAAAATTCCTTGCTCGTTCCTCATAGTTGGCCTGTCGGGAAATGTGTACAGCGAGAAATTGTTTCCTCACAGAAATGATACAGCAATGGTGGAACTTTTTCTCATACTTGAGTTAGAGCGGTGACAATTCCTCGCTAAAAGGGTTAGAATGTGGTCGCCACAACCTTTTGACAACCTAAATATTGACACTCCATAACTTGTGCAAGGATATAATTCCTCGCAAAAATAATCAAATTCCTCGCTGTAAATATCTTTTGGTGAGGAATTTGTAGGTGAGTTTTCAACGATGAACATATTATTTCTCGTTGTAGATCATATGTTGCGAGAATGAATTTTCTCATTGATAAGTATCTATGAGACACTCATTTCCTCGTTGTAGCAAGTCTATAGCGAGAACTTTAATTAAGGTAAAATTCCACACTGTAAGTTGAAGATAATTATTCTCATAAGTAACTGTTGACCCTAAAAAGTACCAAGCCTACGTGGCGCGTAGGACGAGTAATCTATAAGCTAACTACGTCCTTCGGTTGAATGCGGGGCGTGCCAACTCGTCGGTCGAGCTCGGCCAAGGAGTAAAATTTGTTGATGTTGCGTTGGGTGCGCGGCTGACTTCTTCGTCTTGCGATTGCGATCGAGGAAGGAACACGTCTCGGCCTCTTGGGTTCTTGAACCTGAAGACAAGGCTACTATTCTTACAAAGTTCACAAATCGTCGTCATTGGATTCGGTCACAGTGATGGTATTCGTCAGAGTAAACTCACGCTGAATCGACACCAAAGTGTAAGGGCACAAATACTCAAAGCGGATATAAGTCTTAATAGTGAACGTGGTTCGGCTGTCTGAATGCCGAACTCTAAATCCCACTTGAGAGTATCCAATCATAAAATAACTCGGCGTGCAATGCGCCGAGCTTAGTAAGCTGTAACACCTCACTTCGCCGAGAAGGCTAATGAGATGACCTCAATCAATAAGGATTCAGAAATCCTTCTCGACCGAGACTTGGATAGGTAACCAACTGTCCTCGCCGCAGTGTTGTTGATGCCAACGGAAAATACTGCAAGATCGGCTGATTCTACAGCGACAGAGCTATCTATGTCGACTGAAGATATCACTGGTTACTTTCACAGTGCTGTTGATGCCAACGGAAGACGTGTCAGCGAAAAGAGAAAATAAAAAATCTCAAAGTTGTTGAGAGAGTTTGCGCAGGGCAGTTGTGTGTTGAATTGGAGAGGCCTTTGAATGGTGCACGACCTCTTGTATTTATAGTAGCTGTATATCTGCTGCGACATCCAGGCTAAAATAATATTCCTCAGAATATTATCTTTAATATCCCACAGATTGCTTTTCAATTCTATCTCTTGCATGCAATCTTTTCTGAGCAATTAGTCTTTGATTTGATAATGTCTGACACATCATCATCACCCTAAAAAGACCTAGCCACCCTAGGCTTCTTAAATGTCACCATTATCCAATACTTTTATCTTGGCATTCCCCCATACTTTTAGACTAGGTGCATGCAACAAATGTGATGTCAATCTTTTGAAGATACACCCAAGCCGTTCTAATCTGTTGCACTGTTAACAACTCAAAATTAATCCGGACTGTTCCGCTTGCTTGGAGGTATAATTTGCATCTTATCTTATCACATTCAAGAATATGTCAAGATAACTCACAAAAGATAATTTTTACGATAAAAATCATAATATTATCCTTTAAAATTATCTTTACTATTCCATCCGATG